TATATATATGTGTATATACAGTGTTTGGAAATTAGTGATAAATTGTTCGCACATGTGGTAAAATGGACTAAACTAAGAAGAAAAGTCCATTACCATTTTATAATTGTCGCAATGGTTAACTTAAGAAAATAGTCAAATTCGCCCAGCCCACCATCAAATGCAAGCGTGCGACAGGATAGTACCTACCCCGCGCGGCGAAGTGCGCGTCCGCCGTCGCTAGACACGTTGTTTGCAATGCATTGCGGCGAGGTGCGCGGGGCGAGTACTATCCTGTCGTGCGCTTGCATTTGGCGGTGGGCGAATTTGGCTACTTTCTTAAGTTAATAACTCGTTAATTATTGCGACAATGGTAGAGGACTTTTCTTCTTAGTTTAGTCCATTCTTCCACATGTGCGAAAAACTTATCACTAATTTAAAAACTCACTAAAAAAAAAAACGACCTATATATACACTTTTAAGACATGAGTCACAAGACAATTATCGTGCGTTATTAAAAACAAAAGATTTAGATCATAAGACATTGTCAAGATTATAATTAATCAGTTATTTTGCCCTTACAAGAGATTGTAAGCATCTGGTCAATAAATGTGGGATATAAAGGGATCTGTAAATCAAATACAAATATTCATACAAATAATATATAAAAAAAGATTAAATATAGGGTAGTACGCGAAACAGAAACACAAAATAATACGAAAGAAATAAAAACTATGTTTCACTTCTGAAAAGAACTCGAAAAGTGAACAGAACCAAGCTATAAATAGAAGAAAGCTATAAATAAAAGGAAAAAATAATAACTTAATGGAAGTTTGATATTATACAATAGATTCTAATGTGTGTGTGTGTGTGTGTGTGTGTGTGTGTTTTCATAGAATCTATAATATCAAACTTCCATTAAATTATTGCTTCTATTTATAACTTGACTTTATTCATTTTTTGCTTCTATTTGTTTGGCAAAGATACTTTTGGTGGAATGCCACTTCCTTCGGAGAGGAGACACGTGTCACGACATTGACAACATATGTCAAGATCAAGGTCATTGGGAATGGGTCCCCTTTTGTCAATATTTATAATATTTTGGTTCTACCGGGAATTGAACCCGGGATCTCTAGCTTAGTAGACTAGTGTGTTGTCTGTTTTGCCTGTCACGCTCACTCTCAAGAAGATGAAGAATGTTTTTATGAAAATATAGCAAAAACCAACTTTTACATAAAAACTAACTTATATTAAAAATCAACTTTTTATCTTTTTACATAAATTTATGAATATTTCCACGCATTACATGTGACGTTATCAAAGAATATTTTGTACATTAAAAACTTACATAAAATTTGTTAAAGATTACTCAACTAATAATTTAAAATAAATTTAATAATTGTTACACACACACACACGCGCGCACGCACGCACGCTCGCACGCACGCACGCTCGCACGCTCGCACACACACACACACACACACACACACACGCACGCGCGCACGCGCGCGCGCGCACACACACACACACACACACACACACACACATAATCAACTTATTTAATTACAGCTAATTAATTTCATTAATTTAATTTTTCAATTTATATTTTGTATTTAATATCTATACTGAAAGATACGATCATTCTATTGTATTATAATTGCTTGACTTGTATGGAGTAACCTTGTAAGCAATATTATATATGAATAAATTACTTTTTATCAACTGTACATACTATTATATATGAATATAATTATATAAATATACTCTGCTTATTAAATCCTAATACATTCCAATTCTAATATAATATTTTAATGGAAAGATAAAGGGTAAGTTAACTTTTTTTTAAACTAAGTTAAAATTAACAACCTTGAAAATTTAACTTAGTTAAGATACAAGTTAATTTATAATAAAATTAATTGAATTAAAAGTTAAGTTAATAAAAAAAGTAATTGAAAAGTTATAAGTAAAATTTGTTTTTTTTTAATTTTTTATTTCATGATTCCAGGGTTTCAGTTTTACAAATAACGGAAACGACAAATATATACTTCATTTAGAAAATACTCTATTTTATTTATATACTGTTTACATAGATTATTGTATATACTGTTTGATGAATATTTTGTTCACATACACTTATTAAATTTAAGTAATAAAGTCATTTCGAAATTTTTGTTGGACATTTTTCCTCGCAAGTTATCGAAAATGAGTCTTCCCGCACTGAACAGCCGTTCAACGTGAACCGAAGATCGTGAGAAGAAGTATTGATGTGTTATATTTTATAAAAGCACATTTGAGTGCTTTAAGCCTATTCTACAATGTATTCTTTGTTTCCTGTTTCTTGTCTTTTACTTTTTTTCTCCTTTGCAACCGTTTTATCGACAATTGTATTTCTTGTTATGTATTTTTTGTTTCTTTCGAAGTTCGTTAACTTTTATCTTAGGCGATATAAAACAAAAAACCAGATAAGAAGCAAAAAACAAGATTTAAAAAATAGCAAAACTCAGAAAACAGAAAACAAGAAGCACATTGTAGAATAGGTTTTAGGGAAATCTTTTTCCGTGACAAACGTATCAGTTTTACATATAAGATTCGATTATGAATACTGGCCTGTGGTATCTATGACTAAACCTTTAGACATAATAGAAGTAGTAGCGATAGTGATAAGGAATAATAAATTTCAACTTATCAGAAGCTAGATACATCGAAATATACAGTTTCTAACAGATTGAAATCTGGGACTCGATTGTGTAATTTGAAATGAAATGAAAGTGAGCAAATTCACTAGAAAATTTATAATTTCATTGGTCAACTCTTAGTAAATTTTCTCACTTTTGCAATTTTCACCTCATTTTAAGCTGTCGCTATTGCCGCATATTATGTCTGAAACTTAACTTCAAAAAAATTAAATAAAAAATTAATAGTTATGGATAAAATGTAACTAAATAAAATTAAAAAGTGAAGAGTCTAACTAAGTTAAGTGAAAAATCTAACTAAGTTAAGTTGAAATTAATTAATTTTTTAACTTTTTAACTTAACTTAGATTGTTCTTTGTATTGGGTACTAATCAGCATACCACGAGGCGGAGGGATTTTTATATGATGAAATTATTGAGATAGTTATCTTGAATGCGATTAAAGTGCTGTTATAAATATATTAATGACTTTTTATCGCGATATTATTAAGTTTTATATTCGCAAATTAATAGTAAATAATTAATTTAGTAAATGCGATCTAATTGTTATTAGTATTTTTTCTATTTATTAATATTTAAAATGTTTATTAATATTTCATTAAACATTGGTTTAGAAAAATTTGTGTTATTGTATGTATTTTCTACGTTTTCGTATAACCCCGCATTACAAGAATTTGTTAACTATGTTCCTATATTATCATTTTAATTATATTTTGAACAGCATTGATAATTGCATATTGCATTGTAAATAATTATTATAATTGTAATACCGAATTGTATAAAAAATAATACAATAAAGAATAATATTTAAAAAGTTATTGCAATTTTATTAGCGAAATACAATAAAATAATTAGACATAAAAATAAAAAAATTAATTAAAGATATACTTACCTGCAAAAATAGGCTACTAAATTTATTAGCTTATTTGTTTTATGAGTGAGTATACTTACAAAGAAAAGAGGACCGCCGATAAAATTGGCGAGGGTGATGGAGGACCTCTATAGTTCGTTTTTGCTAAATTATACCTTAAATTGACAATATATGTTTAAAAAAGATTGAATTTGTTAAAAGTTTCTAATTGTTAATAATAGAGATTTATACAAATAATTATACAATATTTGATAAATATTGGCTGAAAATTTGCATAAAGATACATAATTTTGTAATTTTATAAAATATAATAAGATAAATATTATATAATAAAACAAAATTC